ATCCTTGACATTGAACGCGTCTGGGTGATTGCGCTTCCCGTTAGGCTTGAAAAAGGGTGTAAGCTCCGCCGAGGGGCGTAGTTGCGTATCTAGTGCCTGGAGGGCACGCGCCATGATTTCTAGATCAGCGGGGTGAGAGAAGTACCGTGGATCAATGTTAGGCTCCGCGTCGATGTCGGCCGAGGATATATGAGTTGCACCCCGCGAAAAGGGGTGTGATTGTGCACATCCTAAACTAGCAAAGTCCTCAGGGAGGAATTGTGAGCCTACGAAGCTTTTACCGCCCTCATGTAGGTTTGTCTGCGCCAAGAACATGAGCCACGCCATGGAGCTGCTATCCGGATGCTCAATGATGGCGCGGACTGTATCGTAATACTCAGTATCGTTGGCACCTTGAGCACGCGGTAACCTATCAAGTAGCTCCGTGATATTCGGGGTGGGCATAAAGGCATGAGACTGCATGCCACCGATGGTAAAGGGACCGGCCTTATGCTCTACGTAAAGCTTTTGGGCCTGGGCAATCGCTTCGGGTTCCTGTCGCATAAGTGGATCGCCTGTCATGACGCCGTCGACTACCTCATAACTCAATCCCGTCATGAGATGATCTTGAAGATTCTCTCCCACGCCAGGAAGGTTTACGTAGACCTGGATTCCGTGGCGCTCCAGTAGCTCTTTGTTGCCTATTCCCGAGAGCTCCAGGAGCTTGGGTGTGTTGTATACACCGCTAGCAAGTATAACGTCTTTAGCAGAGGTAAACCTCTCTGTCTTACCTTCGACCAAGGCATCTACACCCACGGCTCTGGCATCACCGGCAGGCGTCTTGGTCAATACAATCGTCTTTACCTTTGTGTCTGTGAGAATCCGTACATTGGATCTTTGGTGAAGAGGTACGCCATATGCCGAGTTTGCGTAGCTGCGAGTCTTGGTTTCTGGGTCGACAGTTGCCGTATTACTGTAACCTCCAATTGAATTACCCGAAAACGGATCTGATACGTAGAGAGGAGGAAGAGGTTATTCATTGCTCACACGTGCATATACTCCCCGTCTCAACTATTGCGATAAGCTTGATCATTAGGGGCAACGTACCAGCGTTAGTGGCTTTGTTCAAGCCACGGAAGGCATCAATCCACGCCTTACATAGAGGGTTCTGAATGATACCTGGGAAAGATACCTTGATAGGACCCGAGGTGCCACGGTACTCGTCATCGATCCAGTCAATACCGAGGTGCTCAAGCGTGACTTGATCCGGTGGTGGTATCAGTGTGTATGATTTCTTGTATGAGGGTACTAGGCCAGCCCAGTCCCACCCAGGGTTGCCCAACTTTGCCCAAGCATCGATCTCAGCCTGAGCCGGAGCAATGAAAGCTTGACCGTTGATAGCCGAAGAACCACCAAGAGCCTTGCCCTGGGGGATTCTAATGCATCGGCCTCCTAGTCCGGGTTGAGGCACAGATTTGTATTGCCAATCGGCCTCTGAGCCCATGAGAGAAGTCCATAAAGCCGGGACGTTAGCCCTAGGATCGGCAATGAGGTCTTTTCCAGCTTCGAGCACTAAGACCTGGACATCGGGGTTCTCGGACAACCTATTGGCCACAACAAGGCCCGATGTCCCACCACCAATGATGATGTAGTCAGGGGAATATGAGGAAGACATTATGGTGGAAGGAAGTTTGAAAGAAAAAAACCTAGTAGAGGTAGTTACAGGTGTTAGAAGTGCGTTAAAAGAAAGGATGGGAAGAAAACTGTTTAAAACCAAATCTATAAAGAAGGAATCTGCTTATATAATGTCTATAGGTACCCAATTTAAAGTTCTACATTGTCCTATTCTATCGAGCTGCTGACACTCTTGGCCATCATTCTCCCTTAATATCTTTCCCTTCTCCCTTGTTTCCTGCCATGTACCTAAGTACTTGATAGAATCCCTTGCAGGAGTGATATATATATAGGTACTGTGTAAAAATAGGTACCTACCCCTTATGTCTGTACTTGCATTATGTCTCAGGTAGCGATGAAAGAAAAATGAAGTAGTCACTTGATGTATTTATACTTGACTTGAAGGCATTTTACGGTTGGTTCAATGGGACGGTTTGTTTTAAAAGTTTAGAAATAGTTGGGTTGTTTAAGCTTATGGAAACCGATTCGAAGTCATGCTTCCGTCTTCTCAAATACCTTACGTGATTAGTTGCAAGCAATGTGATGATAGTTATATTTATACTCGAGAGTGGTCGTCTTACAATGCACGCACAAGTCAGCTGCGTAGTCGAAACTCAACAAATCCCAACACAAGAGCTAACTATTATCTCAGAAACTCTCTTAAGACACTATGCCTGGTTATCAATCAAAGTTCACGTCTTTCCAAAATGTATTCAGTCTGGCTTTTCACGCGCAGCGACCCCAAGACGGTTGTTATCACTTCAGCGCTTTTTGAAACTCTAGGTACTGTAGCATTGCTCTTTCACTCACTGCTAATAATGCGATTCTGGCTGTATGGCTACAGGTATTGATGCAGTTGCTAACTGTAATATTCTGGCTTTGGATCCATTTGCTTCTCTTTAAAACCTATTCACAACCAACGCCAAGAACTATGTTAGAAGACAAAGCCATGACATGCATTTGTGGGGTAAGCTGGGCGCAATGATGTTTTTGGAGATTTTTTTAATCGAGCCTCAGTACTTGATCCCTACTCTCCATGCGGGGTATTACCAACCGAGATGTACAACAGCCGATGAAGCTCTTTCAAATGCGTCAGTTACCCGACCGACGATTCCACTTTGACCAGGTTGAAAGATGGAGTTGCAAGAGGGGCGATTCAAGGTAACTAGCTGAGGTGGGTAAGATAAATAATGGCAATTAAGTCAAAAGCAGGTCATAGAACCGTCCTTGTTGTAAGGCTACACCGATGAATTATGTCTTAATAGCTATTGAAGCCTTCAACGATGCACCTGTCCATCTGGAATATCGCTATCTTTCTTGGGTTTTCTGCCCGCCTAGCCGTATGCTCCGCGGACAAATGCGCATCACTCGCCTTGAATATCTCAGTGGCTAATAGTACGGCCATTACATATGACTACTTGCTTAATGGGACGACTTTTGACCTTCCCGGGACCGTAGAGTCCTGCGGAGGACCAAACCTCAAGGCCAGAGCCACGGCCAATCTTTGCCGTCTCGTGCTCACTGTCGCGACTTCTCCGTCAAGCGAGATACAACTGGAAGCCTGGCTCCCCGACTCGCCAACTTGGAATGGCAGAGTATTAGCTACGGGGAACGGTGGTATTGGAGGCTGTGTCGACTATCCTACCATACAGAATGGAGCTGGACTGGGGTTTGCGTCTTTCGGGACTAACGCCGGGCACAATGGATCTGTGGGATATGAGTTCTTCTTAAACCAACCTGAGGTTATCAATGACTTCGGCCATAGAGCTATCCACATCGAAGCAGAGGTTAGCAAGGAGCTAGTGCACCAATACTACGGAACCAAAGCAAGGAAAGCGTATTACGCGGGCTGCAGTACTGGAGGTCGCCAAGGCTTCCAGAATGCGCATTTATATCCTGAAGACTTTGATGGCTTACTTCTCGGAAGCCCGGGTGTCGACTGGTTGCATATTGTGGCCTCGAAGGGAATCCTAGCACGGCGTATCGGATGGCCCTATATAAACTCGTCAGCTTATGTGCGTCCGGAGCAGTGGCCAGCCATCGTTAAGGCGCAAATTCAAGAATTCGATGCCCTAGATGGGGTGCTAGACGGCATCATAGACGAACCAACTAAGCACCGATTTGATCCCATTAGTCTAGCATGTGGAACCGGCGTGCTGAATTCCTCTCTTTGCCTCAGCCCACAACAAGTGGAATCTGTGCGTAGGGCGTACGAACCCATTATTAGCAGTTCTGGTCAAATTGTTTACCCTGCCTTCGAATTAGGTTCTAAGACCGATGTCTTCTCGGCGAACCAGGTTAACGGGACGGCTAAACTGAGTTATACGATCCTCCAAGATTTCTGGCGTGGCGCAGTCTTCAATAATACCCATTGGACGCCAGAGAACTTCAGTGAATCGGATATGGATCTCGCGATGAGCATTAACCCAGGACAAGTCAACGCCGCCGAGAAAGATCTGTCAAGCTTCTATCGTAAAGGCGGTAAGATCATCTCGTACCATGGAAGGAATGATGAGGTGAGTAAGACTATTCCACATATATTATACATATATTGACCAAACCCCCTGAATTGATGCTGATGCGCAGTGGTTTCTAGACTGTAACATCTGCCCTGTCAGAACAATTCTTTACTGGTGTTCAGACTGCACTAAATGTTACACTACAAGACATGCACAGCTTCTATAGGTTGTTCTTTCTGCCTGGTATGCATCACTGCTCAGGAGGACCAGGTGCCTGGAGTATAGGAAACGCGCAAAAATATCCATACGATAAAAAACTATTAGATTCTAAGCACAATGCACTTATCGCCTTGGTTAGCTGGGTCGAGAATGGGACTGCACCAGAAACAATAGTGGGAACAAAATACGAAGATGACGTTATTGGAGGCAATATCATGGCACAACGAAGTAAGTATCCTGTACATCCCCTTCCTCACAAGTTTAGTACGCTGAGACTTTCCCAGAATATTGCCCCTATCCACTTGTTAGCAGGTGGGACGGGGTCAATGACACAAGCCTAGCGACTAGCTGGAAGTGTACCTCATCGGGATGAAGAAAGGAGTAACTGCAGTGATTGGAAGCCAGACAGTATTTGGGGTATTTTACGATCAAACGGTTACCTACCATCCCGTAACGGTCGAAAAATGATAGAATTTACCTATGCTAAACAAACCATGTATGGAATTCTTATGCCATGACTCGCGGTCATGTATTCGACACGTACCAATTCGGTGTTTATCAATCGTGACAATGATAGAGAACTTGGCATGTAGGGTTTCACACCTTGCGAGGACTCCCCAAAAGTATAGACAACTATATATGAGAAAAAAGCAAAAAATTAAATCGCAATGCCCTCACACCGGATTGAACGATGGACCTCTTCATTTCGACGATAGTGATTCTGAATCACGTGATACGAGTGAAACGCTCTACCACTGAGCTATAAGGGCTTAGGGTGGCGAATTGCCGCTATTTTAGTCTTATATCTCTGTGCAATGCCTTAGGCTTTTAAGGGTTTATACAGGTCACTTAGAACAATCTTTTTTGAGATTTAACAATAGAAAAGTGGCAATGCCTGGGAATACAATATTTCTATGTCTGGTAAAATATAAAGATGTGAGCAAAAGCGAGGACATGATTTACTCATTGAGGCCTGAAGGCTTCACTATATGATGGTCATGATGATCATATGCGTTGTAAGTACGTACTGGACGATAGGCTATGGATACCAAAGCCCCGCCTAGCGAAATACACCATTAGAGCCTCATGTTTATAATTAGAACCGCCCATTTTATCTAATCATACCATTGTCCATCTGTCAATTCTAGATCCTCAACTTCATCCATCACTCGGGGTATAGATACCAATTTCGATCCTGGCATCGCACCGGGAATAAGAGTTCTAGCGTCAGCCCCTAATAAGTCTTTTTTCCTTGAAAACCTAATCCCGGATTTCTCGAACAGTTCACCAAGGCCTAATGTCTTCTCAATACCAGAGTCGTAATTTGGATCTGTCCTTTCCGCAACGCCAATTGTCACGTCTTTGAGAAGGGGGAAGCTTTCTGGAGTCCTTTCCGCGAGCTGAGAAAGTGACATGTGTATACCCAAATAAAGGTATGAGATTCGAAGCTTCCGAATTGAGACTGGGAGCAACGTGACAAGCCGATCTGCATGCTCACGGTCGCCCGGTCTATATAAAAAATGACAATCAATCGACAATTCCTCCAGATTGGGGAAGTCTTGGAGGGTCCTGAGCGGAGGGTACCACGCGTGAGGATAGACGATCGGACCTGGAAACGGATCGACGGGTATATTATCTGTGCTGCGTGGCAGGTAACTGATACATAATCTCTTGAGTGTTTTCTGAACAGGACGCAGCATGTCAGCTAAGTCGTTGATGATGAAATTATGGTCATCATCCCAGTAATATTCTAAATCCTCGAGCTTCGGAGAATGGAGTAGCAAGTTGCCCAAGTGGTCGGGAAGAAAATCCGATACTGCTAGTCTCTTCAGGTTGGGTAATCCCAATTTGCACTCTAAGTTATAAGACGATTGGGGTACCATCGTGTACCAACCTTCTCCATCACAGGTATATATCGTCTCGAGATTGGGAGCTGCGGCGTATAATGCTCGTGGTGAGAAGAAGTGGTAATCTTTCAGGTTTCCCACTAACCCTAGCGTCCGCAAAGAAGGTAGTCTAAGATGAGGTGAACATTCCAAATCAGAAAACGCGGCATTGTGGTCTATTGCAAGAAGCAAGCTCTGGAGTCGAGGAGCAAGGACCATGGCGAGTGTAGCAAGCCACAAGTGCAACGTCTTTCGCAATGGGACTCGCCACTCTGCAAAGTTGCCATCGAGCCAACCATTAGGTAAATCGGGTTCCTGGAGGAGGTTCTTAGCAACACTATATTTGAATAAGTATTCGATAGTCTGCATCTGACTCTTGTACCCTACTAGCTCATCACCACGCACGATTTGCATGGTACTGATGTTTAAAGCTAGATCAGGACGCTGCGTTAGAGTACGGACGAATTGCGGGAGAAAATCGGGCTTCTTCGGACAAGCAGCGATCCCATCGTATCCTTGATAGAGCTTTATTTCTATTCGGGTGTTTCCAGTAGCGTAGTAATGATATAAGATGGGCTGTGCAACGGCACATATGGTTTTAGACATCAGACACAAACGGGATAGTGACTTCTTGCCGCTGCAGGTTTCGTCGAGATCAGCATTGGGGAAAATCCCAGGATGCTGGCAGTGGAAGCAGAAGTGACTAAAGACCTCTATGAGGAGTTCCACAGGTAACGACTCCATTACTGCTGTTGTTGTAGGTATATAATACCTAACACGAATAGAATAGAAGATGATATGTTCTCCGTGCAGTATATCCTCGTCAGGACTCTGTTGTTTTATTCGTTATGACCATCGAGGTACTGCAGAGATATAATTGATAGCGGATCGGCTGCGATGAATTGAAATATATAAAATAGATGTAAAATGCAAGAACGCTGCAAGAATAAGACCCAAACAATAGGTAGTAGGTAGGTATCTAATGTGCCTTGCTACACAGGGCGTATTTTACGAATTAGTGGGTACGATACAGTGTTAGAAATAGGCATTTCTGGGCATTACGAAGGACCACGGTGCTGACGTTTGTAACATGCGTCACTGCCAGTTGCCAATATTTCCATTTTCCAACCGTTCCTTCCATGTTTATACAACTAGGAATAATATTTAAGGTAGTGTGGTACATAGACTTAGTACTAATATTTTATGATGAACTCTAAACGAGCTGTGGGAACGTGCAGCTACTAATATATACCAAACATACCGTTTGCCCTGGATGTCTCATCTAAAAACCTGACAATCTCATCGTATACTTTCTTATCTCAATGTCTATAACTACATGTATCTCTTATTCGATAACCTAGTATATGCTGATTACTCTGCACTCCGTCAACAGCCATGACAGCCATAAAATCTATACATGTTCCTATTTCATATTATATTAGCGGCTGCGAACAGGTTTCAAGTGATTATATTTCCGGAGCTATGCACTTCAAAAAGTACCTTTAACGATAGCTATGGGGTGTATACTAATCGGTGAGTCAGATCAAATAGATAGTATCCATAGAGTCTTTGCCCGTCCTATATACAGGTACCTAGTTCAGGAGGGTGATTGGAGGCCGCCTTATTAATATTTTCGTCTAGTTAACCGGGCTACTATCAAAACGTCATAAAAAGTAAGTTGCCTATTTAGCTACCTAGGTATCTGAAGAAAAGGTGCAGTTATGACTTAGTTTTTATTAATTTATCTGATCCCCAAGCCAGAACCAGCATTGGAAACTTCTGTATCTGTACACTACTATATAGTTCCAGACGACTTCTTCCTCCGGAGTTAACGCATAGTCCCTATACAATGGCCACGTACGTCCTTTCGTTAAACAGAACCGCGTATATACTTGTGTTAAGATTGGGGCACATGTAACACATGAATCCCAATATGCAACCCCTTATATGCACCCATCTCCTCACTCATGACCCTTCTTATATGCATTTAAAACCTGTCCCTTTTTACCACTTGCTGATCTTGCGCATGCTGCCCTCCTCTAGTAACGCCTTGTGCATGTCGAAGCTGTTGAAGAGTAGGTGCGGCTCGTGGCCCCAGCCCTTCTTGAGGCATTCGAACTCAGCCTTCTCGAAGTAATCCTTGAGGATGGGGCGGTATTCTTCGTGGGAGCACTTGTCGATGATGACGCGCGCTCGCTCGCGGGGGCTCAAACCTCGGACATCGGCAAGACCAGTTTCCGTCACTACGACATCTAAGTCGTGCTCGGTCTGATCTACGTGTGTGCACATGGGCACGATACAGCTGACACCAATGGGGTCCGTCTTAGATGGTCGTGTCGAAGGTGTGTGCATGATACTGTACTTAGACGAGCGCAAGAAGTCGGCGGAACCGCCCAATCCGTTTAGCATTCGGCTTCCCATGACGTTCGTGCTGTTAGCGTGGGCATAGATGTCAACCTCAACGGGCGTGTTCATGCCAATAACACCCAGACGGCGGATAATCTCGGGGGAGTTGGAAACCTGTTGGGAACGCAGAAGAAGCTTGTTGCGGTACGCCTCCCAGTTGTCGTAGAAGCGCTTGAAACCCTCAGGGGAGAAGCGGACAGAGGTTGCAGTAGCGAAGTCGAGACGACCAGAGTCAAAGAGATCGAGGAAGGTATCTTGAATAACCTCAGTCCACACCTTCAGGTTCCAGAAGTTGGACTCGCTAAGGCCACCGATGACAGCGTTCGCGATGTTGCCGATACCAGATTGCAGAGGGAGAAGAGACTTGGGCATGCGACCATGCTTGACTTCGTGTTCGAAGAATTCGATCAGGTGGTTGGCGATCGCACGAGAGTTCTCATCAGCAGGCGTGTTATGTGTCGTTTGGTCTTGGTAGTCAGACTCGATCACACCGACAACCTTCTCCGGGTCAATGGGGATAGATGTGGTTCCAATGCGGTCTTCAACTCCCATAATTAAGTACGGTTTCCGTCTAGGGGGCAAGTCGGTCATTGTGATATCGTGAAGTCCGTCGAAACTGGGGATAGCCGTGTTGACCTCGACAATGATCTGGTATTACGAATTATGGTCAATGCTCATCCTTTGGATCGGCTGGTCTGATTGCTCACCTTGTCTGCAAGCTGGATGAGTTCTGGTGTCGCACCGACCGATGCACCAGGGACGATGCTTCCATCTTCCTTAATTTCTGAAGCTTCAACCACCACGACATCTAGCTTGTTACTCGGCCTGTCCTTGGTGTAAAATCCCTAGTGATGTTAGATACAGATATACTTATGAGTTAATTGCTGGATTTATGCCCTCACTTACATATACTAGGTCTACGGGAAACATAGATAAATGTTTATCGAAGAATTTAATCCTTCCCTCATTAATACCTTTCGCAATAGACTTGCCGACTTGATGAGGACTACGCCTCTCAATCATGTCAAGTGCAGCCCATCGGTTTTCCGTTTCAGCCCCTGAGGATGCACCAACGAATAGCGTGTACCGGAGCTTGCCCTGGAGGTTGTTCTTCTCGACGTGGTCCGCTAAAAACGTGGGCATTTTTCTGCAATTGGAGTTTAGCCAGATGAACTTGCATGGGGAAAAGGAGGGTAATAAGCCACGTACTTGGGATAGCCTACGCCGGTGAAACCGGACCAGCCAATATAGGCACCATTGGGGAAATGGTGAAGTAAATCCTCAGGTCGACATAGCTTCTTTAGCATAGAAGGTCGACTAACTCGAGCTTTCAGAGCTGCGGACGCTACGGGCGAGGCCATGTTGTCTCGATTCGAGCTCAAAAGCTCCTTGCTATGACGCGACCTAGAGGGGCAAGCAACAGATACAACGAGGGGCACACCAGTGATTCTCTCTACTGATACAAGCACAAAAGCACA